ATTATGGCAGCTTTATTTCTTTGCATCATTTTTAGCACTGTATACTATTTATAAAATATTTGTTAATTTTATATGTAAAGTTAAATGGAAGTTTAGATCTGCACTTCTTTGATTGCTAATATTGAGCAGTTTTTATGTAAATAATGGTAGTTGTATTTTTTCTTACTGAATTGCAATTTTATAACATTTTGCTATTTTCTCTGGATAATTCAATTTTTATATTAATAACTTGTGAAAACTTATATAGTGAGAAATTCAATCTTTCAGATATCAATTGTGTTGCAAAAGCTTTTTTGGCTATTTTTTTATCAGCTTATCAAGAAAAGTTTTTTATTGCTGCTGCTTTGATCTAAGCATTTTAAATTTTCAGTTTGATTAATTATTCTATATTTTGCCCTTAAACCTTTGGTACATAGGATAAATTTCTCCAGCCATATATTATTTAAGTACCTGCCTATTTTAAAGCATATTAATGATTTCAATGAAAAATGTCATGTCTTGGATTTATTTTGGTACAGGATGAGATCAAGTTCTGTCTTAGCTACTTTTTCTAGGTAGCTAAATATTATCACAGTGCAGGACTGGTCATGTTTGTCCTTGCTGGTAATTCATGATTGAAGAATAACACTCTTAAATGGCTTAAAATATATAAAAGTGAATGAAATATTTATTGAGAACTTGAAAAATGTATATTCTCTAGTCTTTGAGGATACAAAATAGAGTCCCTGAACTATATTCCTCTGAGTTGTGTTTTTTTCTACCCTCTCCTAGTAAGGTTATCAGCATTTCAGAGACCACTGGAACAAACTTGCAGTGAGTGAACTGGTGGTCTTAGTGTTGTAGCTGGTGTCTACAAATGTGACCCCTTTGCTTTCCAGTTCTACTTTTTACAGGATGATACCGAGCACATGTTTTTAACATTCTGAGTTGCTCCTTCTGAGTTGTGTCTCAGTAAAAGCAAGAACTATAAACAAGAACAACATGATCCCTTCTTGTAAGGTATTTGTCATCTTATGTATTTTTCTCTTACCTTTGTAACTGTGTCCATTTAAGTCTAGGAACACTGTACCAGCTATCATCTTATAATACATTAAGCATCCTTACTATAGCTCTGTTTTGTCAAAGTATAAGAACCTTGAATTAAATGTAATTTTTTATTCATTCATAGCTATGCCTGCCTCTCTGTCTATCTCTTTGTATTTTACCTGAGATTGAAAATAGCTAAATCTAGGGCCAGGGAGATAGTTCAGTAGAATAAGTGTCTGCCTGAAAAACACAAGGTCCTGAGTTTTATCCCTGGTGCTGGAAAAAAAAAGGAAAGAAAATAGATAAATCTAATAGTAATAAGCAAGTTCCTGTACAGTCTGCCACAGGAAATATAAGCATTCAGACTTCATAATAATCATGAAGACAATGCACATAAAGTACTTCCTCATGTTCACTTGGTTTTAGATATGGGGAATGTTGACATTGCTCAGAATGATTTTGGCCCATTATTAATCTGATGATATATTCCTTAATTGATCCTCATCTTTTATGTCTTTTTAAAACTTTCTTTTGTGGCTCTTTTGTTATTTTACCCACCATCATAAAAAATTCACTGATATTTAAATTTTATTTCACTTTATCTTTTTTAAAAAATTTAATTTTTTAAAGAGAATACAAATTAGAATTAAAACAAAAAATTAAAAGTGATACAAAATTTCACTTAACAAAGAAATATGAATTTCATAGGATTTGTTGTAATACATAGTGCTGTCTTCTAATCAGCTGTTTGTATTACCAGATACATGCATGTAAAATTGGAAGAAAGAAAAAAAAGAAAGAAATATATAAGAAATTAAGAAGAGGAAATGTATATATCTCTTCCAGAAAGGACATTATATGAACTCAAAATAATAATTGGAAAGAGAAAAAAGGGCAATAAATCATAAACTATCCCAGAAAGATATGGTCAGTCTGTTTTAAGCAACTGCTACAGTGAATGAGGTGGAAAAACAAAACTACACATTACGTTAGAGCAAAAGATCAGAAAAGATGTGGAGGTCAAGACAGCCCACTTTATTTTATTGATTGATTGTATTTTAGGGAAGGGTCTACAGGGTGTTCAGGGTCTCACTACTAGATTGGACTCATAATGATCCTCCTGTTTACAGCCTCCTAAGAGCTGGGATTACAGGCACACACCACCAGGCCCAGTCTCAATTACCATCTCAGTGTGCACCAGGGACAGGGCCGGCGCAGCAGGCGGGGGATCAAACCCTTCACCCCTGAGCTTGCTTACAGGTGCTTTAATCTGCTGAACTATTTGGCCAGCCCTCTGACAGTCCATTGTTAAATAGCTTATACTTAGAGCAAGAATTTTGTTTTGAGGTCTAGAATGACTTGTGACTAAAGAAGAAATAAACAGGGTTTATTTTTATATATTCTAAAATTCAATACAAATGTGGTTAGATCTAATTAGGTAATTTTGGAGGGGAGAGGGAAAGAGAAGTTTCATAGCTTTACAAAACAGTAAAGAACCACAAATATGGAGTAACTAGAGTCATAAGACATAGATGGATGGTCTTTCGTATACTGTAAGGAATAAAGTGCTTCTTTTGCTTCTTTGGCATAATTCTCCTTTTTGTAAATTTAATGCTTTTAGGGTTTTTGCTTAAACTTCCAAACATGAGCAATTTAGGATAGATTTTGAGCTTCTGGGACTTGCAAATCAGCAGAACCCTGCCATAAGTATTCTGTGTGGTCTTTCTGAGAAGAATGCAGAGGCCAGCGAGGTGTACCCTTGCACTCTAGTGCCTAGGCTGGGCCTCATCAGCTGGCACTGTCACTCTGGATGCTGAGATACCCAGCAGGTCTGACATAAGGAAGGTCGATTGTCAAACGTCATGGAAAATGCAGGGTCCTTGCACGTTGTCCAAATCCTCTACATACTTAAATCAACAGAAGAGGAGGGTACACACGAAGGATGAGTCATTGAAACATATGAGTTGAAGTCTCAGATGACCTGGTGCTTATACACATATCTTCTCCCGACAGCTGCTTTTATCGGCTTCTTCAGAGAAGATAGAAAGCCCCTATAATGCACCTGGAGGCTGTGCCAAATGGATGAAATTCTGGCCGAAGCAGGAAGGAGAAACATGCTCCCCACCTGGCATTTGGCTTAGGGGTGAAGTTTGATGACCATCATATGTCTCCTGTCACATGTTTATCCTTTTTATACAGGGACTAACAGACTTACCTATCAATCCCAGAATCCATTTCAACCTTCTTAAAATATATGCGAATTATCAGGGTATTTAAAAAAGTCCTTCCCATGAAATTTATTTCTAATCTGCTCTTACATTCAGAAAACAATTTCAAGTATTTTGTAGGTATTGAGCATCTTTTGTAGATGTGTTTCTCAAATTAACCTGAAGTCTCTATTTCTTTGACTGTCAGGATAACCTTCGATAACTTTAGACTTGAATGCCAATAGATTTGTGTGAACTAGGAGGATGGTTGTTATATAAAAAATAAATAGTACTTCCATGGAAGAGCTCCCTCAACACAAAGAAGAATGTGCCTGGTCTGTCTTCTAATTTTGGTGACACTTATTTGGAGGTTTTGCCTGATTCTGTGACAGTAGATAAGCCAGAAAACATTGGAATGAGCTTTGGTCTCTAATATGCTTTTTAAGATAAGAGAACTAAAGTAAATCACAAGACTTACTATGAGACACAGGATTGCAAAGCTCTGAGTGTAGGTATGGCTTCAGGGATAATTGGTTTCAGATTAATGCATAAGAGATTGAATGATGTTTCTCTGTGATTTTATGCCACATGATCCTTCAGTACTTTTAATGCATCATTCCCTTAGGTATTTTCTTTCAAATTTAAGTAGCAGATGCATGCAAACTAATTAGTCATAACAGTGGTAGAACAGGGCCAGCCAAATAGCTCAGTGGATTAAAGCACCTGCAATCAGATGCAGGGACAAGGGGTTTGATCCCCTGGCCTGCCATGCCGGTCCTGCCCCTGGGGCACGATGAGATGGTGCTTGAGACTGGGTGTAGTGGTGCATGCCTGTAATCCCAGGGCTTGGGAGGCGGTAAACAGGCGGATTACTATGAGTCCAATCTAGTAGTAAGACCCTGAACCCCTGTAGACCCTTCCCTAAAAATACAGAAAAAAAAAAGGTAGAACAACATTGGTCTTGAAAATGTGAGAAGAAAAAATGGAAGCAATATTTGGAGGCATCTTCCACTAGAAGAGGCATCCTTCTTACGGAGAACAAAATAGTAGCAATGCGGGAGCAGCATAGCAGCACTAAGCTCAGATGCCACATGATATTATATATCTATTTTTAGAAGTAAGCAAATGACTTTCTTTCTTTCTTTTTTCTTTTTTGGTAGAACCAGGGATGGAACTCAGGCCCTTGAGCTTGCCAGGGAAGCACTTATTCCGTCAAGCCATCTCCCTGGCCCCACAAATGACTTTCTTATTAGTTCAGCTCAAGTTGCTCTTGAGGCAAAATACTCCTTTAAGTAAGGTATTTAATTTTTAAAAGTGTAAATGGACCAGAATGTAATGGTGTTTATCGAATACAGAATATACAGTTACAAATTATCTGTGATGAATATGGACATAATACATACCTAAAATGTACCAGTAAAGTTGGGTTCTTGAAAAGACAAAAATAAAACATCCCCTAAATACAGAATAGACAACAAGCAGTAGAGGAAATTATTTTATTGAATTAGCTAAAAGAAAAGGTAGAAATCACTTAGCTATGATTATGAAAAATTCCACAAAGTAAAGTTTAAACTATTGTAAATTTATACTTATAGATCAGTATTTGCAAGCTTACAGATTTATTAGAGTCATGCACTGAGAACTAAACTTGTTATTTTTCTAACTCTCCAGTCTAAGTGCGGAGGTTCGCTATCTTGCTTGTAGAGAAATAAGCTTGATTCTTAAGCGTGGTTTTCTATCTGTGCTGTGTGAAGCATGGCTGGGCTCTTGGGATGAGCCCCTTCTTGGCCCCATCAGAATGAGGCCTTCACCACTCGGCCCTTCAGAGGCTGTGGTGGTCGGTTGTTGTGCAGTACGGGGACAGCTTTCTCACCTTCGGCACTTGAGAGAAGGCTGCGGAACTGTGCCAGCTGGAAGGATGCAATATTTAAAGAATTAAAAACTGTTAAAGTCCCAGAAAACATTGGAGTTCCAGTATAATCGATGCACGGATATTTAGAAAACTGAGTGGAAGATTGCATTAGCTTCACCAACAGGAAGGAACCATCACATTCCTTTGAGTTAAGGATTGTGCTTAAGTTATTGATGATTAACTGGTCTAAAAAACCATTTTTATCACTTTGCAGTGTGGGTACTTTGGGTAAGTAATGACAAGATTTGTGCCTCACTTTTTACTTCATTGCGTTGTGAAGATTAAATGTGCTAATACACAATGTATGCTCAATGTCACTTACCCAAGGGCCTCAGAGTTTGCCCTGAATGTTCGTTACGAGAATTGGCTCACAAAACACATGCAAGATGCCTAACAGAAATAGTAGTTTGATCAATGATAATTAAGTTTTCACTATAAAGAATAATTAATCTGATATTTTGATGTATATTTAAACATTTACATTTGAAAAAAAGCACCCAGTTATAAGGTATGCCAGTTGAGAGCTCCTTTTCCTTAAAGTCTTGTGAATCTATCAGGGACAATTCTCCCTTTGTTTCTGAAATTCCTGAGACAGTTAACAAGGTTAGATTCTTCCTTATTAAGGACAAGTGGGAGTTAAGAATCTCATGCTTTTTTTTCCCTTGTCTTACTTGTTTTCCTTCCTTCTATTCTTTTGCTTTTTTTCCCCCCTTCTTTTTCTTTAGCAATACTGATTAAACCCAGGGTCTTCAACTGAGCTACATCACCAGCCACCCTCTAATTTTTAATTTTGAGATATAGTCTCATCAAGGCTGGGCTGGAACTTGCCATTCTCCTGTCTACCAGAATGCAGGAATTACACATACGTGTCACCATGCCTGGTTCCCTGCTATTATTTTTTGCATAAAAATTAAATGAACAGTATTATATTACACTCTTTGGGGCATGCCTCAATAGATTTATGCCAGGAAAGAGCCTTTTATAGTTGGAAGGGAAAAAAGTTTCTCAAAAGCCTGACTGAGATAATGATATTCCCTACTGACTCTGTCAGTGGAGGTGATGACCCTGTGTTGCGCCCCACATCTCCCTCCTTCGCCCCTGTACCTGTTCTTTGCTGATGCTGATGATCTCTTTACAGATGATCCAGGTTACGCTTTCATGGAGAGGAGGATGAGTCAGAGAGCCAAAATAGGTATAGTAATCCAGGGACGAGGGAAGAAGAGTGGAGGGGTCAAAGTTTTTGAATGGGGCTTTTTTGTCCTGAGAAAATAGAAGTATAAATAATTAAAAATCAACACTTGCTTTCAATAAACCTCAACTTTTTCTTGTCTTTTTAAAAAAATATTTTAAAGAGAATATGATAATAATTGCTAAGACATTAGAAACGGTACACATTTAGAAGAACAAGATGAGAGGCATTCAACCATGGCTCTTGTATTACACATTGCTGTCCTTGATGTAGTTCCTCAGGTCATAGATATCAACATACGGAGTTAGTCAAAGTAAAAAATCTAATTATTAACTGCTATTTTCAAAAACTGATGGAAATTATGAGCACAATCATCTTAGGCATCTGTATATATACTTGCATGATTTTTCCTATCTTTTTTCCTTTCCTTCATCTTCATTGTTTATTCCTCATGTTTAATTTCTTTCTGTTTTACTATATGTCTTCTGCCTTTCAGATTTTATTTATTCTTTCAGGTTCTTATACTAGGGAGACACTATGATATTTACAAATGTGGGTCTGATTTATTTGACTCATGAGTATAGCCTGTAGTTGTATCCACTGATCTATAGACTTCATCTGTTAATTTGAGCAACAGATTTGAGGATAAAAACAAATAATATAATAACCACTGTTAATTCTTGTTTTGAAGATCTGTAACATATGTATTGTTGCATGTTACTCTGTTTTGTTTTTGTTTCTGCTATTTGTATTTGCTTTTACTCTTGAAAATAAAATAAAAAAATAAAAAAATAAATCTATCCACAAAAAAGTTAAAATAACTAATTATAATGGAACAGAAGTATGAAGGAAAACATAGTTTCCCCCAAACTTTAATTTAATGGATGATATTGACACCCATCAATTAAAAACTTTGTCATGTACAGACATTTTTACAGTTTTTTTTTTTTTTTTTTTTTTTGGTGGAACCAGGGATTGAACTCAGGCCTTATGCTTGCCAGGGAAGTGCTTATTCCACTGAGTCATCTCCCTGGTCTATTTTCACAGTTTTAATGAGGGTAATGGTAAAAAAAAATTGAGAAATGTATCTGTCATTGTTGAAGTGAAAAGGTGATTTCAAACTGCCTGAAGATACAAGTGAACTTAATTTTATGACCTATGATAAAGTAATTATGCATGCTCATTGAAAGACTTTTATAGAAAAATCTAAGCATGAGTTAAAGTTTAACTGTGAGATTTGTCTTACTGAATGACTCCCTCATGGACATAACATCTCTGGACTTAAACATGGTCATTGTGATGATACAGTATCAAAGCCATCATTTTATTAAAAATAAAGAAATGTTTAAATTAAAAGAAAATAGAAGTATACATGTGTGCTTATGTCATCATTTCATGGCATAAAATACTTATATCAATATGTAATGGAAGAGAAAATAAGATCTCAAAAACTTATGCTATTTAGAGATCTTAGCTAAGGGTTTGACCTTTCTACTATATCTTATTCATAATTGGTGTGTTTGTGGATCCAGCCAACACAAAGAACAGATAAGGCAAATTTTGGCTAAGCAGTCTTCCTTTCTTCATTTGGTGGAAAATAAGCAAAGGTTAAAAATTCTTTTTTATAATCTGTATTCATGAAAGCTATTTAATATCTATATCTAATAAAAAATTTTGTTTCCTTAGGAATTATGCTAGATTCTGTTCTGGTGAAAAGATATTTCTTGACATGCTCACTGTTTGAGTTTTAGTCATATTTTCCCATGATTTCTGATTGGTTATTATTGCTGTAGAAAATGAACCATCTATTGTATAGAAATCTTATATGCACTTATGCTTTTTATATAATTCTTTTGATTTTTCCAGGTAGATGTAAGTTATTATATTATTTGAACCAGAATTTTCCTCTTAGGTTCTCCAGTATTTATCCTAAGATGCACCTCTATTATTTCTTCACTTTATTGCATTTCTTAGAACTTCAATTGCAACATTTAATTGTGGTGGTCACAGTTTTTGAATGAAATAGGATTGTTGCAGTTGTTTTACTATAAAGTTTTTCATGCTTAATTCAAGTTTCTAGGTAGCACCTTTTAATAAATAGAAGTTTTCATTTCTTTCATTTTATTTTACCTTCAAGAATGAGTATTGGATTTTCTCAAGTGCTTTATAATCTTTTAACAGTGTAACCATTTAACAATCACTTAAATGATATGGTTTTTCTTCTGTGTTGTTTCATGAATTATATTATGTTAAATGTAATGAATTACATTGGATATTCTATTACTGATTCTCCTCCTATTTATGGACCTAGCTCTACAAGTTTAGAAACATTGCCATACACTAATGAAATTGATTTACTATAATTAATCTTAAAATTTCCTTTAGCTATATTCATAAGAGACAATGATCTACAATTTTCCTTTTGTGGTGTTCTTACCTGATTTTGGTATTAAATTTCATTAAACTTAAGGGAAGTGTTCTGTTGGTATGCTCACACTTCAGTTGGATGCAGTTTTCAAACAAGGTTTAATGACTAAATAACCTCCTTTTGTACTTGCAAACTCATACAAAAATGAAAGCAAAACAAATTCCTGAATCTGAGAGTTTCTCAGAAATAGGCAGTGTCTGTATACTACATTGATTTTTCAGGTTGGTGAGTTTTACAACCAGTCTGAGTGCACCCCACTTGAAGCATCTGATTGAGTGATTTTCATACTGTTGTGGATTATTGCTCTTAGAATTAAACTACCTTGTTTAGTTCATTTACCTTAGTTTTAACTTCACTTATGGCATCGAGTACTTTCTGCAGCTTTGAGTTGGCCTGACCAACCTGGAGATTAAAAAAAGTACTGTTAAACACATACTTGTACAGGGCTAGATCTTAGGTTTTAAAAATTAACAACAGTAACTGAAAATAGGTGAGGTACTACTCTGGGACACAGGATTTTAGGTGTGTGTTTTTGTAGACCCTTATATCTTCATTGTTTATATGGTTAACCATGGGTAAAGTAACAAATAAAATGCTTGACTGGAATTTAATTATAGACAAGATGTTCAAAGATAAATAAAAAATGTATAAATTGAGTGAAATTATAATATAAAAGCCAAAACACTTCATTTTAGTCTTTTCTATTACTTATACTTAGCATATTTGTCATATCTGAGTGCTCAATAAGAGCTAGGTGATCACTGTAATCCCAAAAGTGATTTAACTGCTCAATCATACTCAATTTATTTCATCCATTCATTTTTATTTTTATGTTTTAAAGAGAGTACAAATTAGAATTAAAGCAGAAAAAAATTACAAGTAATACAGAATTTCACTTAAGAAAATAATACGAGTTTCAGTATTTGTTGTAATACATCATGTTGTCTTCCAACCAGCTACTCATATTACCAGACATATGCATGTAAAATTGAAGAAGAAAAAAAGATAAATGTATAATAAAGTAAGAGGAGAAAAAGTGCAAGCAAGTGAAAAAAGGAGACGAAAACAAATTATTATCTGCTCCTTTCCATAGGTCAGCAGAAATGCACAGTACAGTTGTCTAAACCATCCTGCTTACATATGTAGATAAATCTGTTTCCCCCACCCCCTCTCTCCTGTCCTTCTCAGCTCAGGAACTCTTTCCTTTTGAATAAATGCATTCCCTTTTCCCAGTATCTATTGTACCTTTAGGTTCCATTTTCTCTTTCAGGTTCTCACACTAAGGAAATAATACAATGTTTGCACATGCAATCATACTTATTTTAATAATTGTTTTCTTAGATAACTTTTCAAGGATTCTTTGGTAGAGGATTTAAGCATCAACTATCATTTAAAAAATCAATTAAACTTTATGGGAAAGATCTCTTAATTTTTCTTTCCTGATGAAATATTAAATTCTTAAACTCCTGAGTCTGAAGTGAGAAATTTAGAGAAAAGGGAATTTGGAAAAATTGGAAAGTAGAAGCTCCTTTTTTCCTGTGACAATTTTCCTTCCACCCCTACTTGAACAATTGTTTTGTCAAGACAGAAAAGCATAGGCACAAGGCAACAAAGAGTGAAGAAAAGTTTTCTTTAGGCATAAAAAAAGGATGGGGACCTTAAGTAGGATGGGAACTTTCCAAAGAGAAAACTTCAAATGTCTTTTGCCTTACATTATGTTCTTGTGAGGTCAGGTTGCTAAGCAGTCACATTAGCTGTTCTCCATCAGGATCTGTAACTCACCTTCATCAAAACACCAATAATTGCTATCCCATCAGGCTTTGAGATGGCATCAGCCACACTGGAATACTTTGCCGAGTTCCAGTGAACTATGTGGAGCTAAAAACAATAATATAGTTTGTCATTTATGTGAGGATAGGAATAAAAGATAAGTAACAGCAATTTGTTAATGTATGACAATGTCTACGTTCCACTCTTAAAACGGGGGATCTGTATGCTGAGTAGTGTAAACAGACCACACTGTTAACACCAATGAGTAAAATTTCTTTTCCTACAGTGTCATGAATTATTTAATATTATTCCTTTAAAAATATCTCTTTTGGTATTAAAATAGCAGGAACTCTGAGTGATTACATTTAGGACAAAAGCTGAAATGATTTTCTGCCTCTTGAGGTAAATCATTCCTTTACAGGAAGGAGCTCTTGGACTTCTTGGGAGCCTGAGGCGTTTCAGTGCCCTTCTCAGGCATCTCTCAAACCAAAACCTGTAGCCTGAATGGTCTGTGAAACTCTAGACTTGCATATCCAAGGATGTCTGTGTATCTTTTTGATTTTCTTTTGATGCTCCATATGGATACCTCAAACTTAATGCGGCCAAAATAGAACAGCTGATTTGTACCTCTAAATCTGTTTCATTTTATTTTTTCAGGAGAAGATAACATTATACATTTAATTGCTCAACCAAAAAGTAATTCCATACTTGTCATCAGTTTCTTACTTTCAGCAACTGCATCTCAAATTAGATCTCACTTGTTCAGAATGTTCAGTGTTTGCATTAAGTACCGATTGTCTCTGGAATTTCCTTCTCCATAATCTTTGAATAGAAGACCTTTGTCTGTAATTAGGTTTAACTCAAGTACTATTCTTCAAAGATTCTTTATTTGATCTCCCATTATAAAATGACCACCATAAATAAAATCAAGTCTTTCGTTATCCCTTATCTGATTTTTTCTTTTGGTAGCAAGAATCAAACTCAGAGCATCATGCTTGGCTGGCAGGCAGGTGCCATGCTGCTGAGCTATATCCCCAGCCCTCCAATTTTCTTTTTACTTCCATCCCTCACTTTTGCTTCCCTTTCCTTTCTCTGCCTTTTTCATTTCCTCCTTCCTTCCTTTCTTCCATCTTTCCTTCTTCTTTGCTTCCTTACTTTTAAAGTTTTCTTTTACTTATCAAACTCAAGTTCTAAAAGCAAATTTTCCTATAAACAGTATCTAGCTTATTGTAAGTTCTCAGGAAATATTTGCTGAACGAAAAAAAAATAAAGATTAGAAAACCATTTCAAGAGATCACTTGCAGTAGAAATATCACTCACTGTAACATCCTCTGTGCATAGCAGTCTCATATCTGTCCTTACTCTTAATTGATTATTCCTACATCCATATCACCATGGTGCTTTATGAATGGTCTTATTGCCACTTGCCACTATATTTAGTTACAATCTTTTATGCATACACTGTCTTGCTTGAGAAGGGCTTGCCTGTGTGCTAACTATAGAAATGTAATCAAGTATTTACAATGTGAAAAGAATAGGTCTAGGTGTGCCTTATGAGCGCACATTCCATTTTATCAGTAGTTGTGTGAGGTAGATAGTCATGTTGTCTTGGTTCTACTGATGAGAAGATTAGGACAAAGAATGATTTTGCTCAAACTTACAAGGCCAGAAAGTGGCAGGCGTTTGATTAAATCTTGAAAGTGGGAAGAGGAGCCTGCATTCGTAACCGCTGCACTGCCTCTCAACCTGTCACAAGGTATGTGCTGCATATAGGGTTACTAAACTACAACATGCTGAACTTTGTGTGCAAGTGTCTCTATACTAGCCCAGATTATTTTGATTTTTTCTCAATTTAGTTGAAAGAATAACTGGTTTCAGTTTCCTTTGCTACTACCAAGTATCCTTTCAAAAATGTGATACTAACGTAGGCTCATAGCACATTTAATTTTACTCTATTTACCTTCAATTTTGTTATGAAAGAATTGGGGAATAACATTTAATATATTTCTGCAGTGTTGAAAGATATTATTTAAAATTTACAATATAAACCACGTTATATTCACATACAATTCCCAAATCATCTATCAGAATAAAAAATGCACATATTTTATAAACTTTTTTAAAAAATGTATTTGGTACGGGGTTTCACTAGGCAGCTCAGGCTTGTGGTGATCTTTCTGTTTTCAGCCTTCCCAATGCTGGGATTGCAGGCATGTGCCACCATGCCAGGTCTCTGAAGCCAGCTCAGTGCCCTGGATGTGGGGCCAGTATGGCACGTGGTGCCCAGGATTGAACCCTGGTTCCTGCACTTACCTAAGCAGGTGCTTAGTGACCTTATAATTATCTATCAATAGAAACTGATTAAATAAATTCTCATTTATTTGAAATCCCATACAAACATCAGAAAAGATGGAATTAAGCCTTTTGATTTTAAAAAAATGGTCATTATAAATTGGTAGAAAAAACAGCAATTTTTGAAACTATATATTATAAAATTCATTTTACACATATAATATTAAAAAGCCAGCCCGCTTATGTGGGCAAACATGCACTATGTAGTCATATGTATAAAGAGTAAAATTTCTTCTCAATCTTCCATTGAGTTTGATGCACATGCATTTTTTTTTCAGATATACAGAATATATCTTGATACAGATCACAAACTTTCATGACAGGGGTGGTCAAGAAGGAGTAGAGTGGTGGGTTGCAGCCAGGGAACTTCAAACTCTGATCTATGTGCACCACCTCCCTGCGATCACGGCTGTCATTATAGTTGAGCCCTTTGCAGGGTCTTACTGAAGTATTCCTGGCTCTGATCATACTTCTGGAATGATTTGGTGTGCCCAAATTTGAAATGTAAGTAAAACTGGAATGGTAGCATCTGCATTTTAGAGTCAGAACTTTAAAAGAGAGCAGTGGTGTCCCTTAGAAGCCAGCAGCATATCAAGGTAAAAATTTTTTGATATATTTTTAAGAAAAAAGTAAATTTTGGATTCCAGAGTTCACATCCAAGTTCAGTTTCTTTCTACATGACAAATGTCCTGCTATTGCCAAGCATGGCATGTCTGTGTTTGATTTTAGTGGAGTTTGGGAGTTCCTTACGAAAACTGGAATAATGGTTTTTTTGGAGTCCTTATGATAGTGGTTTCCATAACAATAGAACTGCTTTGAGGGCACTGTCAGGGCGATTATCTTCTAGTTACTAAATTATGTTACCTCTGCAGCGTACTTGTCTCCATCCACCAGGTGCTCAGACCCATATTCATCTGTACTGCCCCAGTGAAAATGGAACTGCACGAGCTGATAGCTGTCAGAAAGAGGGCCACCTTTCAGCACTGGAACAAAAGGGAACTACTGTTAGACTGAAGATCATAAATTCCTGCTTCTCTTTGCACAAACCAACTCTAAATTATGTTGATTTCAAAGGAAAACCAGCAGCAGAGCTAAGTGTTTTATCTTGCTTTTGTCCCCTATATCCACAATGATGGCACTCTTCTGTATGATTCAGCCCTGACTGTAACACTGATAAGACCATGCATAAAACATATACAATTCCCAGCACCTGAGCCACAGTAGTACCTGTTTCCACTGCCAAGAAGGCATATTGCAAAGTGAGTGAATTATAGGATTAGAGGACTTTCTTTGAAATTCTGCAGTTTGCATGTTCCTTAATTGTTCTTTCAACAAAACTGCTTAGGTAATATCCATCAGAATCTATAGGAGTTTATTCTGAGCAACAATTACGCATTACAGACTCTATACTTAAGGAAAAAAAACAATGTTTCTTAACAGTTACACTGAGAAACCCTGACCAGGGAATGAGAGAAAGTGCCTGTGGGGCAGGGTCAGTGTTAAAAAGTTGACATCTTGTGATCTGCTGTTCCGGAAGTCTGTCCAAGCATGTTTATGTAAGCACACTAGATTTAATCTAGCATTAATGGAAGACTGAGATCCAAATGCACCTAAAATTTAGCCTCAGAAATTGTCATGTAATGACTGATTCAATGATGATGGATGAAAAGTTGACTACACAGCAGGCAGCGTGCCTGGCTCTGCGGTGTGAGCATTGCAGTCGTCCTCCTGTCTGTCCTTCCAACTGTGCTCACCACTTTCATGTCACCTAGAATGTACTTGCCCTTTCAGTTTTTGTCTTCATAGGGATTTACTCTCTAGGCCTTTTTGACTACTTATAGAGAGAAGGAAGCAAATATAAAGAACCTAACATAGAGGAAGAGATCCAGAAGTGTTATTAAATGGTGTAGGTACTTTAAAAAGACGAAGCTAGGGATTCCAAAACTATCTTTATCATTTGTGCACTTCCCGTAAGTCCACACCATTTCACTGGATAGCAGCACAAAGTATTCAAGATGGCTGTTGGTGTACTCTATGCTTCATTGTTTCAGTTTTCCTAGTAGATTTTAGGAAAAAAAAATATCAGAACTGTCTTTGGTCTCACCTGATTTATCGTCCTCAAAAGTCACATGGAAAGAATGTCCCACGTTGATAATTTCCTTGGCACCAGCTGGATTGTAGGAGACACTGATGGGCTTTAGAGAGGTGTCATGTTTGACCTCACTGGTTTTAATGTCAATGGGAGACTGGTTATTTCCATTGGCGATGGGGTACAGCTTGCTCCATTGAGCAGGACCTACCAGGACAAATGAACACATATAGTCAAAACTTTATTGACTGCTTGATTCCAAGTTCTAGGACTCTACCTGTTTGCTTGTTGGATTGTGATTTAACCAGTTGTCTTAAATGACATTGGGTTAATTGGACATTCTGTGTTTGAGTATATCTTTTTTTCTACACTGTACTGCAAAATGGTGTATCTGCCAACACCAGCAATATAAGCCTAATACACAGCCCAGAGGAGCAGACTGTATTGCACTAGCAATAGATTTATAAGATATATTATGAATGGATTTTGAAACATTTATGTCTCAAAGACCAACTGCTAAAATTTCTTACAAGGATATTGTAATTATTCAAACCAGGCAATCCAAACCATCAAACTGTGGCTGTGTTATTGTTTTAAGTACTTAACATATCTTGCATTGGGAAAGGCAATCAGCTACTCTTTTGATCTGTACAAAAAGAAATGCTCTTACCATTTGGGCCATCATATCCCCACTGTGAAGTTGCCATGGTCTTCTATTTAGTTTTCTTTTTCTGAAAACAGAAATAACACTTGGAGTAACTAACTGCAACTGTGCCTGCTGTAGATTCCCCACTCTATTGCTTGGGGTTTTTATAGAGATGTATCTGCCCTTAACAGGTTACTATTGCATCATCTCTGCATATCAGGAAGTATATATGTCTAAAAAAGGTATTATAAAAATGTTTACAAAAGTTAGTTGGGTTCCAATTGTTTTATTATACTATAAAAATATCAGAATTATAGATTTTATTAAACAACATCCCATTTCATGTTAGCAGAAGATATGAGTGAATATTGTCATATGAAATTCTTTGGATTTCTTAAATTAAAAGTACATTGTACACTTACAATCCAATTCTGTCTTTGCTACATAATTAAAGAATGCTAGCAAGATTAATTTGTTACAGAGATTAAATTTACACATTTACCAGATGATCTGAACTAGCAGCATAATATTAATTTATAATTAGATAATAAAATGACTATTTATAATGTGCATTAATAGTGGTACATTTCATAGACACATAAATTCTGCAGTTTGTGAGTTCATTAATTATTCTTTCAACAAAAACTGCATAGGTAATATTCATCAAAATCTACAGTGGTTTATTCTGAGCAACAAATTATGCATTATAGACTGTATACTTCGTGAAAACACCACAGTGTTTCTTGACCGTTATATTGAGAACCCCTGACCAGGGAATGAGAGGAAGTGCCTGTTGGGGCAGGGATTTATCAATAGTGAACTTAAAGATTCATCAATATTGAACTTAATATTGAATTTAATATCAATATTGAACTTAAAATGCCCTAATATTTTATATGTCAAAAGTATACTAGATTAAAAGTCTTCTCATTTATAGCTCTATACAATTTACAAAACACTTACTACTTTGTTTCTGTTTCACACACGATGTCTGAAGAATTATCATTTTATAGTCAAGAGATCTCACTATAACTAGCAAGAAACCAAGAATTCAGCCATCAGGTCAGTTGCCTCCTTCCCTATGCCTGAAGAATCACCACAGAAATGTTGTAACATTCATATGCGATGGTAAGTCATGAGAAGTTTAAGTTACAAAATTGTTTTGCCACACTGGGTGAGCTCTGAGGTTGAAGGTTTTCTAATTCTTTTACTGTCCCCTTAGTCTGTCAATATCAATTTATAAGATGTTATCACAAGATGCAATGAATATTTACATAGAAAAAAACTAATTTTGAAGAGATATTTCCATTAACCCTTCTCAGAATACTCATGTTGAATACACTTATTCCATTGCGCTTGGCCACTTTCTGGAAAGTTCTCTTTCCTTGTGCTGCTGTGGCTGCCATGATGTCTTGAATGAAATGAACACATTTACCTTTCATAGTCATTTTGTCGTGGGAAAGAGTCAGAAATTGCACCATGCCAGATTCATTTAGCATGGGTAAGGACACAATATAATGTTTTTATGTGAAATTACAATAAATATTTTGAATTGATTGAGAATGTTGAAGAATCCACAGAAAGGTAGTCATGAAAGAAGTCTTTCAGAGCTTCCTTATAAAGTGGTAAGAAAAATAGTGTGTTGGAAGTGTTGGGAGTATTTTGAGGAGGATAATGGCAGTGTGTTTTTACTGTGATAAATTTAAATATTCACCATCTCATTTGACTGCAGCTTCTGGTCTGCACTAAGAGGAGACTTCACAGCTGCTGAGTGCTTAGAAACTCCACAAGACTTTTCAAGAAGGTACAGAAAATTGATCAGGACATATTAGACTCTCACTAGGTCTTAATTTTAATGCTCCATAGGTGCTCAAATGAAATACATCCAGAAACATAAGTTTCAAAAATATCTGCTTTAAAACTCTATAATTGCCTAAGTTGTTTTCAGTCCCTGAAAGAATATGAAAGGAAGGAGTGGTATTTAACAAAACTGACATGCAATTGATGGGTTGTTCTTTTATGGCCTTTGTGGCCAATAACAGTGCCCTGCCTCCTACGAAGAGTGGGCAGTGGATCATCAATAGCCACAGAGGAAGAAGAGGCCAAAGTTCCCATTCTACAGATTTAGGTATAGGAAAATCTTACTTAAAAGGGAACTTTTAACACATTAAATTTTTTTAAATTTAATAAATAACATTGTATATACTTATTAAATAGAAAATTATGTTTGAAATACATATAAATATATAATGGAATGGTTTAATCTAGCTGATTAATAATTACATTAGTTCATCCAGTTATTTTGTGGTAATAGCACTTCAAAGCCAATCTGTATACTCTGAGAATATAATAAACGATCGTTATATAGTCACCTTGATGTATTTTCCTATTTAGGTACACTCATGTATCCTTTGACCAAGCTCTTTAAACTTTGAATTGTACAACTATTTTTATCATAGTTGGACAAAGACAACCCCTTTTCATTACAAGATTACATGATGAGTTACCAAATGGATGTTTTAACATCCAGATGAGGTGGTAATTCATGTAAAGTTATAGGTACAAAATTGTTTTAACCCCGAACTACTATGATTCTTTATTTTATTATGCACTCAGGGTGTGGCTGAGTACTCTCACAAGCAAAAATTAGAGAGGATGTAAAACTCAATGAGCACCTATAATTTAAGCTCTAAACCTCCCTCATTTACCTTTATTTTTTTTTGCTAATAGACTTTGCCTTTCTTGGCTTTATGTCTAAGCTAAATCCAAAATTAAACATTTTGTATTTGTTTCACTTTGACCTATAGACTCCTCCTAGTATAATTTCCCAAGGCTGTGATCTCTGACCCTTCTTTCTATCAGGAAGTTATTCCATCTACACAGCTTTTCTTCTAGATGGCTTATTTTTTCCATCAAATATATAAATGTACATAGAAGCATTCTTTTTCTTGAAAGACCATTTTGAATGAATCTATATGTATTTGAAACTTAGAGTAACTATGCTGATGAAAAAGTTATATCTTTACAAACGTAATAAAGAATTCCATGAATACTTTCTTAACATTAAGAAATATCACAATCACTAAAGAAGTCCTTGAGGTGTGTGTTGGACTGCCCAGAGCTGGCTGGATCCTCACTCCATCCAGGGTGCAGAACCTGCATGTGAGTGGAACTTCCTCCATCAGACAGGCCAATTGTGGAACCCTATGGCAGAACTCCCTGCAGAGAGACTAAAGGCAAGACCCACCCAGCTGATCCAGGAGCAGACATCTTGCCAGAGTGGCAATGTAGGTTCAGTTCCAAGGGCTGCAGCAGGAAGAAGTGGAGAACAACAGCCAGACTCAAGCCACACCCACCTGGACTAGTTTGAACTTGGTAGATCCAGACCTGGTGCTAAGGTAATAACTGCACCAAAGTGCTACACCAAAGGTCAGAAGACAGCGCTATACAAAATGACAAAGAGAAGAAGCAAAATGCATTCTCAGGCCCTGAGCCCACCCAGAACAAATGCAGGAGACAATAACATAGAAGAAATTGGAAAGAACACACCTGAAATCTCTGAAATAATAGTGCCTGAAGTAAAAAAAAAAAAAAACTGCAGAAAGGTATAGAGGAAATCAGATCAGAAATAATTTCTGAAGTAAAAAAGAAGTGATTATAGTAAAAGAAGTGCTAAGTGCTTCTAAAGAAGATACTGATTAAAAAATTGAGCAGAGGAAACAAAACCTTAGTGAGAAATAATATGGTAACACTGTGGCTATATTAAATCAAAGAAAATGTTCGATTAAGAAAGATTGAGCAGAATATAAAAATGATGGAATCCTTGAATGAGCCTATAGGAAACAAATAGAATGTATGAAGCAGCTTCAAAGAAATATACAGGAAATTAAAACCTCAATCACAAGCTGGCAAAACTGTTTGAATGAAAGTGAAAATGAACCTTCAGACTTTGAAGACACCATTGCAGCTAGTGAGAAGGTAAGAAAAGTTCTCTTAAATACAACTAGGATACAGGATAAAACTAATTCAACATCTGCAAGGCGATGCAAAGATGAACAACATTAATAGGCATCAATGAGGAAGGAGTCAATATAAATGATATAAAAAGAATATGGACAGAAGTAATAGCAGAAAAATTTCCCAAATAATGGGAACCAATCTGACATTCAGATCACTGAAGCACATAGAACTCCAAATAACATTGATCCTATTAAAACCACTCCCAGACATATAATAATGAAGATCCCAGAAATCCAGCACAGGAAGAGTATACTAAAAGCTGCTGCAGAAAAGAAGCAGATCACATTTAAAGGAAAACCCATCAGAATAATGCCAGATTTCTCTTCACAAACCATAAATCATAGAGCATGGGGTAAAGTACTTCAAGTCTGGTAGGAAAACAAATTCCAACCCAGACTGATATACCCTGCAAAACTCTCAAATTTAATGAAGAAGTGAAATACTTCCATGACAAAGAACAGCTGAAGAATTTCATGACAACAAAGCCAACCCTACAAAGTCTACTAAAAGGTATTCTAGAAAGTGATCAAAATGACCACAACTCTATGAATAAGAGTGGAAAGAACCCACAAAATAAGGCAAACAAACACAGGAAAAAAGAGGTATACAACAGTCATCTTTTAATTATTCTTTTGTATACAACAGCAATATATTTACATCAGCACACTCTACAAATGGACTTCTCCTGCACACTATGGATCATGATTCTGTGTGGGTCTACAGGGTGGATATCAAGGAAATAGCAGTAGCTCAGTCCCACAAGTGACACCTGGCCACCAGTAAGCAGCATGAACATTACACATGTCTACCACATACTAGAACTTTGTACAATATCCTATCCCCAAGCTGTTAGAAGTGCTGATCATATATTTGCCATTCCAGTATTTGTTATGTTTTATTTTTAGTAATTCTTCATTATCATGCAAACTTTTTCTTAGTTGCTGTTTTTGTATATATTAACCTAACCAAGAACTATGTGAGTACTCTGAATTGAACACAGATTCGTACATATGATATACTACATTTTGGCCTCTTAGATGG